AGCTTTTATAGAGCTTGGGCCTTATAGGAACTGCACTAGAAAGGCAAGAGCAGAGTCCCCTCTCTCCAAGTTTTAGGGGTCCTCCCCTCTGCTCTCATTTCCTCTCCCCTACCTGGCTTCCTTTATTGTCTAATGCACATGGCATCGATGGCTTCCATGGTGCCTACATCTGTGTGATTGTCCAGCTTCAGTGTCCCTTCATGTTTCTTAGTTTAGATTTCTGAAACAGGCTGATTGGCCCAGCTTATCTTTTCAAGGCAAGCCACACATTTTAAAGATCCTGGCAGAGTCTGGATGAGCCAACCCTGGCGCAGCAGGCGTGGTCCAGTGGGCTGAGGCCAAACCATTTGGCAGGTGGTTGTCAGCGCCTCCAGGAGGAGATGGAGCCTGGATTTCAAGCACTTAAGAGCATTAACCTTAAGGGCTGGTGCTTCCCTGCTGTTTTGGCTTTTCACCCTCCATGATGGCTATTTCATGCCTTCTCTTTACTCCAGCCTGCTCCCCGACTCCCCAGACTTGAAGCAGGAGCCCTTTCCTGTTTCACTGAGAAAATAGAAGCCTCTTGTTCCCAGCACACAGCACAGACCTCTCTCCTCCTGTACCCATCTTCTCGACCCATCTCTTCATTCTGTGGACCCCTCAAACATCCCCTAGTGTCTCTCTCAGCCCCACATGCTCTTCTGGAGAACTTCAGACCAGTGTCTGTCTGAGTGCGAGTTGAAGTGTCTGCATGGGAACCATTTATGCCAAGTTGTTAGAAAATTAAGAAGCCTGCTCCAGAATGTAAATCAGCTGTGTACTATGCATAATTCCATTCAGCTGACATTTTTTTCATGGCAAAACTTTCTCCATGGAGGAAGCAGTGTGTGCATTTACATTCTGGGGCAATTTTCTCTCTCTCTCAGACAAGTAGTGGCCTGGGATCCGCGCTTTCAGTAGCCCTCATCTGAAGCCTCCTCACTCGCACTCCACGAAGTCACTCATGGTACATATCCTGGGGCAGAGTCCAGTCGATGCGTCTTTAGCTTCACTTTGTCTCTCAATAGAGGTTCGAAGCAGTGCTCTTCTTGACTCTCGTGGTCCCAGGACTCCCCCTCCTCACATGCCCCTGCTCCCCAGGTTCCTTTGCTTTCCTCTACCTGTCCTCTGACTGTCAGGTGCTGCAGGACCCTTGCTGGGCCCTGTCCTCCATCTGTGTTGCCCTCGCTGGGCTGACGTCGCCTAGTAGCTGATGACTTCCAAATATAGATCTTCAGCCCATACTGAGCTCCTGACTCCCTTGCCCGTCGCCGTCTCCATGTTTCCACGGCGATGTCTAATAGGCGCCCTCACATGGGTAGGTGTGAACAGAGCGCTTCATGCCCTTTCTCAGATCCACCCTCCTCCAGCTCCTGAGGCGGCATCACCACCTACCAGTTGCTCAAGCTCTGAACCTTAGGTCACCTGCGATTCCCCTTCCCCTCATGTACTGTGTCTGATCTCTAGGAGGTCCTGCCAGTTGTACCCCCAAAATACAACCTGACTCCATCTTCTTCTCCGTCAACTGACCCTCCCCTCCTGAGCCACCCCCTCTCTCCCTGGCCTGCTCCAGGAGCCTCCCTTTTCATTCCCTGTGCCCCGCTCTCCAGGGACAGGACTGGTCCAGCCATAGGGAGCTTTTTTAAACCATGTGCCTCCCGGGGTGAAGCCTTTTTGTGCCTCACGCTGCTCTTAGAATAAAACCGGACTCCTCACTGTGGTCTCGGAGCCCCTGGATAGCCTGGCTTCTGCTGCCCCCTCCAGATTCATCTCCTGCCATTCCCCAGAGTTCTTCCTCTCCCTCTGCCTGCCGGGCTGCCCCGCTTTCATCCTGGGTGGTCCCTTCCCCTCTCCTCACTTGTCATCTCGGACAGGCTTTCCCTGACTCTTCTTCCCCAGGGAGAGCAAGGGCCCGTGGTTTGAGGCCCACTCCACAGGTGAGTGAGGACAGGAGGCCGCCCCTATAAGCCTAAAGAAGAACCCAGAATTCAGTCCAGTGTGTTTGTCCTTTAAATCCTGATCAAATCTGCACTGTCACCAGCAACCCAAGGTTTTTCCCAAGCCTCCGAGAACTGCACATTACAAATGTCTAGAGCTGGTCATCTAGAGCTGGGGCCTTGGAATGTCAACCGCACACATGTGAGAAGATGACAGCAGTGAGAACAGGGTGAAAGTCAGGGCCGTGCTGGGCCCTTCCTCAGTCTGGGTCCCCGGTGCTGCTTGCCTGCAGCCAGTCCTGTGTGGGGCTACAGCAGGGCCAGGGCCCTCCGTTCCCTCACAGGCCTGACGGGCCATTAACTCCAGGGGAAAATGGCTGCAAATCGGAGTCTTGCTAACGACTGGTGTCTGTTAAAACAATCTCATAGGATGTATCAAAGAGAAAATGGACCATGCCTCATAGCTTTGGACGAGGGATACTGTCCATTGCTCTGTTAGAAGCCACTGATAGTATTTACAGACTGGTTGACACTGACAAGACCTTTTTCCTCTTGCTCCTTGGTTTTCTCATCTCTAAAATGGGGGCAATAAGCCTGCTCTGTCTGACTCACAGGCCACCGGAGTAAGTTCCAGGAGTGTCAGCTACCTTCTCTATGCCAAGCACCGTGTGGCCCAGATTCTTGTCTCATCTTCACATGGTCCTGTGAGGAGGGGGCTGGGCACTGTCCTTATTACCTCCTCCCAGGTGGTAGTTGAGGTGCAGAGAAGCTCACTGAGCTCTGCTCAGGGTCTCGGAGTAGGCAAGGGGTGCAAGAGGGAGTGGCTCTGTCTGGCTCAGCCAGCCTGGACTGCTTTTCTCAGGTGGGTAGAATGCTGCATACGTGTCATCCTCTACGAGAGAAGTTGTTCTCATGGTTCAGGCAATGACACTGAGGCCTAGTGAAGGTAGGTCACCTGCCCCAGGCCATTCAGCCAGTAAGGGGGTGTGTTCTGAGTTTGAAGCCAGGTCTGTCTGAAGTTCTCTGAAAGATCTGAAAAGGAAAATTGGTAAAGCCAGGGGTTTCTACACCTGTCAGGTCTTAGGAAAGCAATAGTGGGTACTTTTAAAAACCTAATGGAAATTATACATTTGCCCAAGTGGGGTCGCCCTGACCTTTAATGGTTGCTTTTGGCTGGCATTATGACATCCCAGTGTAATATTACTCATCTTGCACCGTAAGAATCTCTGCCTGATTGTGGATAATACAAAAAAGTTCTGGCGTCCATATGGGATGAGAAGAGTGGTAAGAGATTGAGATCTTTCTGCCAACAGGAAGGTATGTACGACCTTTCCAACTCAGTTCACATTCCATACTCCTCCTCTTCACACAGCCACTCACGTGTAAATGTCGTTGGCTACTCACTGCCCTAGGACAGAACTGGGCACACAATTTCCTGTTACAAAAGCCTATGTGTAGAGGAATATTGGCATATACCGGTCTTCTGCCTCTGGGAACACCTCACTCCATGCTAGCCTCCCGGGATAGTAGGATGGACATTTGTCTTTATTTTCCTGCCCCATATCCAATGCCCACTCCTTCTGTGTGTTTAGAATATTGGTGTACACTGCTCTTCTGCCTCTGAGAGCACCTAACTACATGCTAGTCTCCCAGGATATTAGGATGGACATTTGTCTTTATTTTCCTACCCCATATCCAACACCCACTCCTTCTGTGTGTTTAGAAAACATTCCACTTACTGTGGAGGCTGGGAAGCTGGACTGTGGGCATGCTGTGGGCCTTGGCTTGGCTGGTCAGATGCACATGGGGAGCTGGTGATGCAGAAAAGCCAGCTGGTAATGCTGCAGAATTCATCCTGGAGGCAGTGAGAGCAGCTGTATCTAGTTTCCAAGGGTAGTGGTGGTGGCCTCAGGGCCTACAGCTCCAGTGTGCAGTGTCCAGGTGGTGGTACAACCTGTGGCATCCTTGTGGCCTGTGGTATGAGTTGGGCTGCGGTCTTGCTCATTCCCTGAGTCTGGTCCTCTGGCTTTTCTGGGGATTCTGGGACATGCCAGAGGCCTTTGAGTGAACTCCTTCTTAATTTAAATCAGCCAAAGTGTATTTCTGTTGCTTTTTAAAGCTAAGAATCAGACTTATATGGAGCTGTTGCTCTGTAGTTATCCCTGGGTTTTATTTATCACTAGGCCTCTGATAGCACTGCTTCACCACCCGAGCACCCTACCCGGGCCATAGAATTTACGAGAACCTCAGGATGAGAATCCCTGGTAAAGAGGGTCTTGCTCATTGAGGACCACAGGCTCAGCCATCTCTGTTCATTGTCTGACTCAGATTCCACTCTTCAACCCGTCATGCACCCCTAGACTGCAGGTTCATGAGGATAGAGCCAGGTCATTCACCCCTTTCCTCCTCGACTCCTCCAGCAGTGCCCCACACACGGGTACTCGGGAAGGTTGGCATGTGCAGGCAAAGGAAACAATGGAAGACAAGAGAAGGTGGTGCCTCTGAGCCATCTTCAGTGCCAGCGAGGCTTCCCTGGCCTGAGGTCAGGCATCCGGGCAGGAGGCCAGCCACATGCCTGAAATCTGCAGGTTGTCTGCGGTTTGATACTGGAGATTGGCTGGGAGGACTGGAATTCAGAACAGCAGAGACAGTAGGTAGAGCCTTGGAAGGGAGAAATGGGCCCCTCTTTCCTTGGAGTGGAGGCAGTGAGGTTAGTGTTTTGCCAGTGACTGTGCTTATGTGGAACTCAGGGCCTTTCCCAGCCCCCCGTGGGGCTGAGAGGTGCTATCTCAGCACACGGGTGACACACTCACAGCGCACGTGTGCACGCGGCCGGGACACGCTGATGGTGGTGTTACCCTCGGGTATATCCAGCTCCCCCCGTCCACACTTAGCGGGGCTGACGCTGACCTCTACCGTGTGACCTCTGCTGTTCTTAACCCCTTGTAAGTAGCAGGTACTTTTCCTAGTGTAGCATTTGCCTTTAATTTTATCATTTCTCTCTCCTTCCACTCCTTTCGTTCTTTATCATTGTTCTCTCTGCAGGAGGTTCTGTGCCCTGACCCAAGGAGTGTGACCTTTTCTTCAGAACCCTCTCTGGACACGCCCTCCTAGCATCCCCTAGGAAAGATGCGGCAGCTCAAAGGGAAGCCCAAGAAGGAGACGTCCAAGGACAAGAAGGAGCGGAAGCAGGCCATGCAGGAGGCCCGGCAGCAGATCACCACGGTGGTGCTGCCCACGCTGGCCGTGGTCGTGCTCCTGATTGTGGTGTTCGTGTACGTGGCCACGCGCCCCACCATCACCGAGTGAGCGCCGGAGGAGGGGGAAAGTAGCAGAAACATGGCTTTCGTTGTCAGATTTTCCTGATGCTGAGCTCTGAGCAGGAGCGCACCTGTCTTCTCTGCTCTTTGACTTGATTAAAGCTTTTCCACTTTCTTGGGAGGGAATAGGGAGCGTTTTATCAGTCAACGTGCCATACACCTTATGGTCCACTTCATGTGCCTTTCAGACTTCAAAGCCGTGTGTGTGTGTTTCTTTTTCTCTCCTAAGTCCATGTGTAGCTCCCCCTGGTGAGAGGAGGAATCTCGGGATCATGAATGAGTTGGAATCAGTGCTCACCCCATCCCCATTGTCTTGAACATGACTCTTTTCTTACATGTGTCCACAATTTCCAAAGGGACTGTATTTCTTCTCTGTGCTTAATGTGATTTTAAATATGTCGACTCAAAAGTGAAATATTTATTTTTCGAATAAAGGAGATAATAGCCTTAACTACTGGATGTTTATCTGGTTTTGCCAACGGGCAGCCTTGCTCTCCGAAATTGTTGGGAGGTGCTTGTGTGTCCCTGGGGCTCCCTCTCAGGCCAATGTCTCCTTTCCCTCCACACTTCCCCTGAGGCTTTCTCCGTCTCCTCACCCCCAGCTGTGAATCACTTTCAGGAAAATTGTACTTTTTGACTGGATCATTTTAGGATTGAGAGAATTGTGAGAGGGGCAGAAAGGGTGTGTTAATTGGTCTGTTTTAGCAAAATAAGAGTTCTAATTGGATATGACTGCAAGTGCTTTTTGCACCACTTAGCAAATGGCAACGAAGAAGTGGTCCTGCAGGGAAAGGCCAGATTTGGTTCTGTTCCTGCCGAAAGGGTGCAAATTGTTGGCAGTCCAGCTGAATTTCTGATGCAGATTGGCCAAGCCAGCAGGGTGGCTTCACTGTATTCTAAAGACATTGTTAGCCCTGTCCTGGTTTCTGATGGAGCAGCCAGCCCCTCTTTGGAAATCAGATTCACGTGACTGTTCTGTGTTTGTTCTCCTGTCATTGCTGATTACAGAGAGATCTGGGGGGAGAGAAGAGCTGTTCTGGTCTCAGAGGCTACGTGATGCGCTCACTGATGGCCAGGCTGTTCCTGAGGACTTGGGGCCGGTCTCTTGGAGTGAATCTTTCAGGAAGACGAAGCAGCTGTTGAAAGGAAGATCTCCAACTTATGCTTGGAGATCCTGGGACTGGCAGGGCTGATAGGGCTCTCGGGCCTCTGCGAGAGTTGGTCTCGGTGGGAGACACCATGCCACCTTACACTCAAGTGCCCGTGGCCCTGGAAAACAATTTACTAAAATATTTCTCAAATGCAGAGGCTGCTCGAATAAAGTTCCTCTTAGATTTTTATTTTCCTCCCCTTTATTTGGTTCTCTTAGGAGCCTCCATGCTTGTTGGCCTCATTCAACAACATACACAAAAATAGAATAATACAATATACTCCATGTACCCATTGACCTGCTTCAGCAAACCCACATGGGACCAGTCCTGCTCATCCATCTCTACTGCCTCCCACATCCAGGCACTCTCACATGCACTCCACATTGGATTATTTTGTAGCAAAACAGGAGGTGGGATTTAAACCCAGACAGTCTGGTTTCAGAGTTCATGCTCTTGATCATTAAGATCTATTACCTCTTAATACTGATTTCCCCCAGTCTATAGAAATCTTTCCTGCCCAGGTGTGAGTGAACAGTCCTCACCTGGTAACAGATGATGCGAACAACCTTAGATGCCATCTTTAGACAAACAGGCCGTGACTTCAGCTTTGCCCACTGGGTATCTTATCCTGCTTAGTCCCTCATCCATTGCTCAGGGGGAGAGGAGCCACACCCTCAGCCATCAAGGCGAAATATTGATCCCTGGGCTCCTTAAAATAATATTTGGGTATTCTTTCTTAGGACATGTTGGATATGCTGTGAGAAGAGCATATATTTTGGGAATGGGAAACACGGGTGAGTCCTAACTCAGCCACTTTGCAGCCAGGTCACCTCGGTCAGGTTCCAGACTCTGAGCAGCAGTTGCCCCGCAGCTATCAAGTCAGGCTCATTTTATTCTGCAGAGGATGATGGGAAGATACATTGAAGTAGGAAAGGTCATGACATTGTTACTGGTGGAAGTGGGGTTCTTGGGTGCCGCTGGGATAAGAATTTCCAGAGGCCCCACGGGAGGGTGAGGTATTGTAGAAAGCTTTATTTCTGTGGAATTACACCTCTGAGTTGTCCCATTTCCCTTTGTCCTGTCCTAGAAGAAGTGTGGCTGTGGCTTCAGCAGAGCTGGTATCAAAGCCAGTTTCCAGAAGTTCCATTCCATGTTGGAGCACAGGTCCAGTCCAGCATCAGGCTAGCTTAGCGTGTATTTCCCGCTGCAGTCCTTCAGTCCGTTGCATGCGGGGTGCGCAGGGTCACATGACTATGGAAGAAGCATGGGTGACTGCAAGGAATTAGGAGCAGAGACCAGAGACCAAGAGAGAGCAAGTGAACTCCTTTGTTTTGGGGATTATGTATTCCCAAGTTTTCATGCGTTGATAGTGGCCCCACCCCCTGTGGCCAACGGTTTGACTGGCAGCAAGCACCTTCCTGAAGTGCCTGACTCACTGCGCGTATGCCCATCTTCCCCTTTGTCCAGTTCCTTCCCCCAGTGACCTGCAGGGAATGAACCTGGGGAGTGTGAAATTGCAGCTTCCTGGTGAAGCTGCCCAAATGATGCGCCTATAACGTCTGGCCCCCCTTTTGCTCCTTTTCTATTATTAATAATTAGCTGATTACAATGGTATCAGCATCGTGCCTAGTACATTTTAGGTGCTCAATAAATGGCCATTCCCTTGCTTCTTGTCAGTGTGTTCAGCTCTTAGGACACACATCCAGGCCAGCTTCCCAAGGCTTTACTTGCCAGGCTGACACCACACCACACACTGTGTATAGATTTTTTAGGTGCCTCTGGGCCTTATTTTCACCCACGGTTTTCTTCTTCGTTGTCCATCGGGAGGCCTATGGGTTTTCAGGAGAAGGCANTTCACCCACAGTTTTCTTCTTCGTTGTCCATCGGGAGGCCTATGGGTTTTCAGGAGAAGGCATTTACTAGATGGGCTTGGTGAAAGCAGGCTGACATGGACATTTAAAAGTGAAAACAACTTTGATGTGAGCTACCTCCTGGCAGGGACGAAATTCCAATTTACTCTGGACTTACTGGGTGTAGATTAATAATTCTCAGGGTAAATACTACTCCCATGTGGGTGCACTGGCTAGTTTTTTTGAGACATCAGCTTCCAAATTATTCCCAGTTATTCAGTGGCTTCAAGGCAAAACTGAATAATTTACTAGCAGTTTTACAGAAAGTCATGCTGGGGTTCTGCAGTAGGATATGGGGCTTTTGGCTTTCAGAGTCCTCATTACCGAGCCTAACATTTCTTGAAGAGCAAATTCCAAAAGAGGAATCAGGTTAGGAATGGGAATAGAAACCATTGTCATTCATTTAAAAAGTGTCACTTGATGTGCTTTAAAAAATCATGATACCAAGATGCATTTGTGCGTCTGATGATTCTGAAGCCACCAGCTTAATTCCTTCCCTGTCCGTTCAAAGACGGAGCAGCACATGCCCGTCACTCCTTCCTGCAGCCTTCCTGAGGCAACAGGAAGGAACCTGCAGCCAGACACCTGGAAAGGAGATGGTAACACCTGCCTCAGGGTTGCTAAAAAGATTAAAGAGATAACTGTCCTTCCCTTTTCTCCTAAAGGATCTCACATCATTTACTCACTGGAGGTAGAAAAAGAAGGGAACTCTTGAAATTGTGGCTCCTGGATGTCTTTGTGGAATCTGCCATCATATGCGTGTGTATGTATTTGTATGCAGGTGTACACACACACACACACACACACACACACAAATATATATACCTCTACCCTTTATAGCTTTGTATTGAGAATGTCCCACATGGTCTGTCACCTGAAGGTGTTTGCCTTACTTTGAATGCAATTTATTTTTCAGGAACTTTGTCTAATTCCCTTCTCTACAATATGACTTGCTTAAGCATTAAAAATGAGATACAGAGTCTTTGGATCAGGGGAATATGAGTAGCTTCCTCTCAGCCCTTCCAGAACATACGTACTACCATTGCATAGAGTTTGCCCATCCTCTCGATTCCTGCCCTGCTCTCCCCCATGCTTTAAAGTAATTTTGCCTCACCCAGGCTATCAGGTCGAATTTTTCCTTATGGGTCATTTTGTCCTTCAGTAGCTAGCCTGTCCTCTATTCTGAGTATTTTCTCATTCTGCAAGCATACGTCTCTGACTTTAGTGTATTTTAGTGGGTCATCTGTGTTTTCTCCCTGCCTGCCAGTTCTGTGGAAAGGAGCCAGTCTTTTCAAAAAGCCTGTAATCCCCGGAGCTGTTGGGTGATAGCCTAAGGAATGGGGCGCAGTGAGCATTTGGATGCGCAGTCATGCTGTGCTTACGGCGCGCGCTCCTTTGTCGGTCACATCCCTGACGTTAATGAAGGTTGCCTGTCTTGGAACCCTCCTAGGACTGAAACTTTTCTCCAGCCTGTGAATTTTCCTTTTCCATTTGCTACAAGGCACAGCTGGCCACACACTGATCACCTCAGCTCTTTCAGAAAGCATATTAAGCCTTTGGGGATTAGGCCTAACTCCCAAGGCATAACTCGTTTGGATTGGAATAAATTGAAGCCCATTATGAACCTCTTTTGCAAGCCCTTCCACCCTGAAAGCCCTCTACCTGCAGCTGCACTACTAGCTCTGCTGAAGGTTGCCCATTTCTTTTATCCAGATTTGCCAGAGACATTGGAATTCCCTGCCTCCTAGGTTGGGTTTTAAAAGATGTGGCAATATCTATAAAATATATATTTTAAGCAAAAGTGTACTTAAAGGTTGAAAATGTTAAAGATGGAAAAAGATATGGTAGGCAGATTGAACAAAAGCCATGGCAGCGGTTTTAACATTAGTAAAACAATTATAAGATGAACATGCCATCATGGGCAAAGGATGACATATAACAGTAACGCAGTAACAAATGACATTACGGTCATGGATATGTATGTTGCTAACCATATAGCCTCAAAATATACAAAACATGACTATGGGCAGACTAGAAATAGATGAACAGTTTTAGTTGGAGAGAGACACCTTTCATAAATGGATAGATCCAATAGCCGAGGAGAGCAAAGATTAGAAGGTTTGAATGGTAAAATTAACTTGATCTAGAAAATAAGTATAGGTCTTTTTATTTGACAGAATAAACATTTTTTAAGAGCACACATGGAACATTAATAAAAATTGGCTCACATTTTTTAATTTGATGAAAAATATAAACCCACAGATTCAAGAAGTTCAGCAGCTCCAAGCAAGATAAATACAAACCACATCTGGGAACCTCAAGGTCAAATTGCTGAAAATCAAAAATGTAGTGAAGGAAGAAATTGGCCTCAAACTTCTCTTCTTTAGCAT